GGATTAAAGAGATTAAAGACTTTTTAATTTTTATTTGTTTATTTGAGAGATACACTAAACAGTAAACTTCTAGGTCCGTACTTATCTCCTGTCACGTATTTTCTATTCGACGATTTTCGTGTACAAACGACTTCTCTTAGAGAATATTCCATTCTTAACACCATTTTTTTCATTAAATCCTATCTCTTATGGTGACAAAATGGGGTTATCTCCATTTGTAGTACGTGGTTCTACCGCTTAACAATTTTTTTTAATAAAATAGTATATTTGGTCTCCCACCAATTCCATCAAATTTTACACCAAATAAAAAATCATTAATATTTCTATTCTTGATAAATGAAAATGTAAATATATAGAAAAAAATATATAGAGTGCTGCTATTTCCACCTCCAAAGTATCTCAATTCACCACCAAAGAAAAATAAAATGTCTTAAATACCCCTCAAATTTATAATTCACCGCATTTCCTTATATTCGTTTAGTCCTCTCATGTGTTATAAGTTATTTCTATTTTATTTTATTTTTCTAATTTTTTATTTTTTTAATTTTTCTATTATTTTCTTTTTGCAATAAAATATTTATTACAATATATTGAAACTTCCATATCTAATGACCTACGGATTATGTAAATTTTTTTAGGAAACAAAATTATATTAAGCTAAACTAGCCAATTCTAGAGAAAGTTCAGGACCTTCCATACAAAGCACTCTTAATTTATTTCTCCAAGAATGTGAATTTCTGTTCTTTTTGACCTTCAGAAATATTTTTCTCTGTCGAAAGTATTATTCACTTAAGGTGGAGAGGGTGAGATTTTCCGATAAAGAGTCCAAAGAAAATGGTGGGGCCTTTTTTATTAATTAGTTTAGTGGTGGACGATTTATAAATTTATAAAAAATATAGGTGAAAGAAGAAAAAAATGGGTAAAATGGAAATATATTTAATTTGATGGTGAAATTTGATATTTTGAGGGTGGAAATAGCACGTCTCAAAATATATACAAGTACTACGGGCATACCCGATCAAGTTCAACAAAACTTGAAAGTAAGTAAGCTAACATTTTTACATTGCACATGTGCTAATGCAGATAGAATAACTCTCAAAAGAGGCTTATTATTACCTAACAATTATATACAAAATGTTAGGCCTTCAAATACATACACCTAATTGAAAAGAAGGCGTGTCGTAAACTAAGAATGACTAACTACCCAAACCCTTCGATAAGCGGTTCGGGCCTTCGATCCTACCCAACTAAGGAAGTTTGGGCCTTCAATTCACCCATAAGAAGCTTTTGTGGGTCTTCAATAACTACACCAATCATGAAACAAAGATTGGGCCTTCAATGCTAATCTACTCCGTCGGTATCGTGCGCATCTCCGATCCGTTTGTGGTGAGTAACGGATATCCCTTGCATGATGCAATGTTCGTTGTCGTCCTTGTTCTTTCTAAAGACGTGAAGTTGAACCTATAAAACAAAGATGGAGCAAGAAAATCAAATTTTTTAGCAAATGGGATTATTATATTATTATTATTATTTTTTTTTTTTTGCCAAAAATAAAATTTTGTTAATGGAGTATATGCCTCATTAAAATTTTGTTTGGCATAACAAGGAAAGAGTGCCGCTAATTGTTTACAATAATAGAAAAACTCCTACGATAATTATACAACCATATTCGATCCAAACGAATTATACAACACAAAATTGTTTGGCTAATTTTGTGTTGCAAATAAGTTAAAAAATGGATTGGTAAACTCAAATACCTGATAAGTGGTTTTTGCGTTGGCGTATGCACAGAAGCGATCGATGGTTCAATAAGTTCAAGAGGCTGCACAAGAAAAAAAGAATAATCTCAGATTCTATGTTACATATAATTTTGCAGTAATTCAATACACAGAGCAGGAAGCGACGTAGCAACTAGCAATCTGATAACATAATTTTTTTTTTGAACATGAAAAATAAAAAAGTTGGAGTTACTTTAATCAAAGGATAAAATACAAAAAGAAAATCCCACATGTTAAAGGAAATGTGCACCAAATCCATTTATGTTCATTTTATCATGTAAATTTTCCTGTATTTCACAAAATATCCTTTCCCGCCTAATTCGTTATATATATATATATATATATATATAAAATAAGAGATGTATAATTATACTTGATTCTGAGAGATGTTTTAATTTTTAAAGGTCTAGATTAACCTTTGTATGAAAAGTAATAGAAAATCTACTCTTATTTCATTTTTGGGTAAATTATGTCTAACCCCATGAGGTAAGGTCAAATTACAAAATACCCTTTAATATTTGAGTAATTACAACTATGTATTTTCTTACGAACAAATCCCTCCATCAATTGGTAAATTCGACACTGTAAGGGTAGAGGTGTAAGACAATACATATTTGGGGATATTCTAATTTGAACTACCCAAACAAGAAGGGTATTTTCGTAATTTAACCTTACCTCAAGGGGTGGCCGTAATTTGCCCTTTTCATTTTTTCTACACAAAATACCCTTTCATCTGTTGCCACTCACTTTTGTAGGTGCAAAAGAGGAATATTCATTACAATAAAATAGAGTATGTGTGGAGAAAAATAAAACATTACAATAAAGTCGAATGATCGAATAAAGTAGGAAGAAAAAAATGATTATGTACAGACGAAAACAGAAGGCGTAAAAAATCGACGAGACCTCAAGCTCCTGCTGCATGTGAACGTTGCATCCGCTGTTTCCCGTTTTCGAAGCTCCCGAATCTTGCTCTGCAGTAAAGACCATCAACGGCTTAGAACTACTACTATTCGAACGCAGGCCTTCTAGAAGAAGCAGTTGCGAGGAATCAAAGTTGCCAAGAATCTCACTGATAATATCTAAATGTACGGTATTTTCATTTCTTTTCGTCTTCTTGCTGATGGTATCGATAGCAGCATCTGTCGTGCATGACCTTGACCTTTTAACCGACAGGTGTCTCTCTCCGATTGGTTTAGAGGGGCGGACCCCACCAGGGAAGACGAAAGTAGGTATCTCTTTTCGCTTTATATGGAACACTTGAATCGACATGTTTTCCTTCCAAGATGCGTATTTGTATACGTCGTAATTTATATATTCATCAACCGTTGTTCTTAAATCGACTTGTAATTGGCTTTCCTTTGGATTAGCACTCCCTTGTTGTTTCCGTTGTAAGCCCATGAAATAGCTGTGCTGAAATGGCTTCGATTTCTCCGAAAATTCACCGGGGTGTGGATGACATTGTACCATCCCGTTCGTGTCCCTTTCAATCTGGAATTAATCAATCAAATTAAACCCCAAACAAAAAAAAAATATTTTAAAGGGGCAATGTGCAAACAGAACACTCAATTTCGGAGAATAAACCATCAGAATTTGGCTATATACGTGCAACAAAAATAAAATGTAAAGAGCAGTTCAACTAACCTTCAAGGTAAGCAAGCGGATCCTAGACTCGACCCATCCTTTCCAATTCAACAAGTCAACCCCATCCTTTGCCGCTATGTTGATCTGAAGATAATTTCTGTATGCCTCGAAAAACGCAAACGGCTCAAACAAAGAATCCCAGCAGCTACCCTTGCTTACTTCTATGGCCTACAATTGCAATTCGACTCATTTTAATTCAACCACCACAAAACTATACATCCATCCTGAGATAAACAACGAATCGCAGCAAAGACGCAAACAAAAATATCAACCAAAATTACTTGTTTTTATTTTATTTTATAATTACCTTACATATTTCATTCCCCCTGTGAAACTCTTGTACCATGAATTGCAATGTACTAGCTGAAACGTTGTAGCTAGAGTTCATGGACGGATATGCCGGAGTTATTATTGGCATGCGATGTAATTTATCCATGCAATTCGTCCGAGGGTCCCAAATCCGAAATCCTAAAGATTTTTCTTCAACTGGGCACAACATAACAGGAAGTGGCCACCGCCATTGATCGTACACTCTAAAGAAACGAGTGACCAACATGCTAGGCATAGCATTTGGATACATCTGGCAAACCCGGGCGACGAGCAATGCCAAATTAATACCACCTAGGAATCCAGACACCTGGCAAGTGAAATCGAGCGTTTAGAATAACAGAAAGACTTCTATCCAGAAATTAAAAAAATTAAAAAAAAGTTTAGGTATTTTGCTCACATTTGAATAGATGCCACGTTGCTTCGCCCACAACCTCATGCATTTTAGGGTAGTACAAAATGTCTAAAAAATACGATAAAAATATAATTTAGAAAACATTTAAGAAAAAATATATTATATTATCTTCAGCTTGGAATTGCGGTATTCGGACCTTAACATTTGGCACGAGGCGCAATATTAGGTCAGTGACTCTACAGCCATTGAGACTACGAACAGTCTTTGGATCCACGTTTTGCAGTATAGAATCTTGTGAAATATCCAAGTCCTAAGAACCAAATAATAAGTATCAATTATATAATATTTCAAATCGAATTTGAAGTACAATAAAACGGACAAAGATAATGAAAGTTGGAAACAAAAGAGGGTTCGTACTTCAGGAATACAGGAGAGGGACACATTTGCGTATAGTAGATCGATGGAAACACCGTTAAACTTGAATTTCATCACCGGAACATAAGCCTCGGTTATAGGATGCAGCTCTTCTACTTCAGGCATCTCTGACAGCATCTTCTGAAGTCCGCCGAAGAAATCTTCCTGCATTTATTACAAAGTTATATACAAATTCATCAACCATCGAGAATCAACTGTTGAAAAAGATTTCAGATATTAATTAAGAAAGTAAGCCTTACACTACGGCTCGCGTATTGTGGTCCGACGCACAATGTATCAATATCAGCACCAGGCCCATGCACCTATATATTTAGATTCAAGAAGAGATACAAAGTCAATCCTCATAAATCAGAAGAAAAATCAAGAAAACAATTTCACTCAAAGGAAGAAGAAGACGAAATTCATACACCGAGTCGGTAAGAGCCAAAGGTGAAAAGCTTTGCGTTCGCCTCATCAACTATTGATTCACTATAACCTTTCGCACGACTGAGGTTCTTGACCCACGTCTTCACAATCTGCACGGTAATTGTAGATTGTAGATAAGTAATTCACGTTTCAATCACTTTTAAATAAATAAATTAAAAGAAATGTATATATATATTTCTGAAAGTACAAATAATGACCTGATCCAATCTACCAAGAACTTCCTCTCTTTTAGAAGATGCTTCTCGACTTTCAAATACTCCCGACTTTGCAAGAAACTAACCAAAACAAAAAAAAAAAAATTTAATCAAATTACACAATTATCTAATTCACATAATTCCGAGTATAATTTTTTGAAAAAGGAGAAATAAATTAAAACAACTAACCTTTTCCAACTCCTGATTCTCAAGGAAATCGAATTTATCGGGGCTGCTTCTTGAAACTGGCTGCCATATATCGATATTGGTAGCCATCAATTTTGAACACTAAGAAAAGAAAAAAAAAAGGCATATAAATCAGGGAAATGCAGATATATTACAAATTGATGTGATAAATCACATAAACTGTGTAAAGACCACATGAATCGAGAAAATGTGATAATTCTAAGAAAATTTAATTTGAGTTAACGATAAAATTTAATCGTTGTCGTTGAAATAACTCTTTCAGGTATAGCAAATCAAAGAATATTTTGGTAGAGATACAGCTGAGATGATATACAAGTGGACTGTAACAGTATCACTGTGTACGTGTGGTTAAGGTTGTCATCATTGCCAACAAACTATTTCGAAGTTCGAATATATTATTATGTTGCTAATCTTGTTACTTTGAGCATTTCTAATTTGCAACTGGCTAGGATCCTGTATTGTCTGTGATTTATGTAATTAGTTTTGGTTTTCAATTTCGGTTTTCGGTTTCCGGTTTTGATTTCGGTTGATGGCAGTAAAAAATTAAGGGTAAATGAACTTTGCAACTTTGCCTTTTATGCGGATCACCATCTCGACAGGAAACAAAAAAAATTGTGCAATTTACCTAATTCACGAAAACATGAACGAGAATAAACGTGCTTATACATAAGTGGACACCCAAGATTAAAAAAAAAAAAAAAAAAAAAAAAAACATCCAAGTAATTTTGAATAATATTTTTAAAATATAGGTTTTGGCCTCCCAATCTTTTGAAAATATGAGTTTTGACCCTTTAATTTTTTAATTTTTCTCTATTCTTTCAAGTAAACTTAAATACTTTTTACTTGATAACCGAAACCGAAATCGAAACCGAAACCGAAACCGAAATATGAGTTTTGACCCTCTTTGCTTCTTTTTTTTTTAAATGAATTACTCTAAAAAAAATCGGGGGTGAACCCTCAAAATTTTAATCTCCCTTCGTTGGATTAATTTAAAAACCTGACCCTCCTAATCAAATTTCCTCGTTCCGCCCATGATCCCGGCATCAGAAAAGACGACGAAACAGAAAAGACGACGAGTGTAATAACGAGAATACAAGAAAATCAGAAATATAATGAAACCCTAAAATTGAAGATGAAATAGATCGGGAAAAAACAGAGAACCATCGACCAGTTACGTTACCTGTCGTTCTTCTTTCTTCGTTCTTCTTACTTCTTTCTTCCCTCTTCTCTCTCGTAAAATCTTTCTCTATGATATAAATCTTCTTTTTTCTTTCTTCTAAAATCTTTCTCTATGATATAAATCTTCTTTCTTCGTTCTTCTCTCTTCTCTCTCGTAAATCTTTCTCTCTGATATAAATCTTTCTTTTTTCTGTCTGCAGTATATGTATATCGTTCGTGGACTCTTGGGACTCTTTGAGAAAACTCATATATATTAGGACTCCATATTTATAATTGTTCTTTTGACATTTTTTAATTATAAAATTATCATTCTACTATTTTCAAACGAAGTCTTTATTCTTTAAGGCTAATTAAGTTTTTTCCAGTTTTATATTTAAGCGGTTATGTGCCTAATTTCATACCATAAGGGGGTCATGTGCAAAATTTAAAAACTAAAAGGGGGTTATGTGCCTAATTTCCTACCATAATGGAGTCATGTGCAAAATTTCCAAACCACAAGGGGTTATGTGCATAATTTTATCCAATAAGGGGGTCATGTGCAAAATGTCCAAACCACAGGGGGTTAAGTGCTATTTACCCATAATAATACATAATATTATTATCGTTGACGGTAATATTACTGTTGTTATAGTAATATTACTGTTAATACATAATATTATTATCGTTGACGGTAATATTACTGTTGTTATAGTAATATTACTGTTGTTATAGTAATATTACTGTGGTTGGCAGTAATATGCAGTGTTCTAAAATCGGCCGAGGCTGTTTTGTTTGAGTTATTCACGGAGTAACGTAATAATATTACTGTCTATTATTGTAATATTACTGTGGTTGGCAGTAATATGCAGTGTTCTAAAATCGGCCGAGGCGGAGGAGGTCCAAAACCTTTACGATTTTAGTGTATGGGTTTGAGAATTCGGTTTTTTGCATGTGTTAAACTGTAGTATAGTTAATTCTACTGTGTTTAACAGTAATATAGTTAATATTACTGTCAATCACAACAATATTGATGTTTAAACGGGGAAAAAAGATGTTAAAATTTTCGAAAAAGTCAACGCCGGAAACCGGTGGCGGAGAAATCATGAAGAAAAAAAAAAGTCAATGCCGGAGACTGACGGTAACGGACGAGCTTGGAGATGGCGCAATCCATCGGAGTTCGACTAAGTGAGGAATATATATGTTAACGCATGGTTGAGATTAAAAAAGAATTTGAGGGTATGGAGAAAACGGTGTAAAGAAAGATGGTGGAGAAGAGGAAATTTTTTTCTTTCTTTTTTTTCTTGTTTTTATGGGTTTTTGCAAGTTATTGGAGAGGGAGATGATTCGTCCGAATATGTTGGTGGACCTTCTAGATCCGAATATGTTTATGGATCTTCTAGATTCTGCAAATAAGAACACAGAAGAAGAGAACCGGGCTGATGCCGGAGTTAGCACTCCGACGGCCAAGTCAGTATATCTTTAACTTAAGAGATTTTGAAGAATAAATTATATGTTTTCTGACTTTTTCTTAAAGAGATCATGCTTAGTTGAATTAATTTCTTACTATTTATAGGAGAGGCTTCTGAGAACGGACTCCAAATACGGATTCCACTTCTATTTTAGTTGTCACCTCAAAAATATTCCAGACTTCCAAATGACTTATTAAATTAAAATTACCTGTCTTCTCAGTGAACAGTGTTATGAACAGTGTTGTGAGCTGCTTATTCCCTAGACTGCATATTCTCTGAACTCCTTTGACATTTGAGGAGAGGGATATTAAATGCAGGATGATTATGTCAGATATTGCCTAAATCATATCTTGCAGCTCTCGCCTCTGTCCTCTCGCTACTGAGAGGGACCCCTCGCTCCCACGGTCGGCTCTCGATTAGGCTTCCTAGCTAGGCCCAGAACATTGATTTATCAAATCATCTAGTCTGTATATTCTCTGTGGTTCCTGACATTTGAGTAGACACGCATTAAATATAAGTCGGCGATGCTGCTTCCCTTTTCAGACAATATTCCTTCCCATCCTTTCATTTCGGCGACCGCGAACTTCCCCTTCTCTCGCCATGGAGTGGACTCTCGCAAGCTTCCCATTATTGGGCCTTCATTGGGCCTTCTTTTAATGGGCCAAAATAGTTATTTTTTACCAAATCAGGAGAGAAAGATATAGAGAGAGAGAGAGAGTGTTACGTATTGTTGGAGAAAAATGAAGGAATATCATTTCAAATTAGGGTTTTGGAAGGGTACAATGGACAATTTAAATTTGTGAGTAGAGTTGTTTTAAAGGAAAGGAGTTCTCTCAAATAAAAAAAAATAATAATAAAAAGGGATCATTTCCCACATAAATTTTACAAATCAGAGGGATCTTGCTAATTTTTCATGTATATTTAGGTTATTGGGTAAATAGCACTTCAATCCCATGTGGCTTTGATGTTGAAAATTATTTTGCACATGACTCCATGTACTTTCAATGCAAGAGGGTCATATGCTGCTTATATTGAAAGAATTAGGAGTCATGTCCGAAAAGTTTAAAATTCAAGGGGCTTGAGTATTATTTAACCTATATATTTGTATAAAATTCTAATAATTAAAAATGCCATTAATTTTTTTCGAAAATAAAATCAAAAATATATTTTTTCTGGAATACGAGAAGTAAACTTTCGAAATTCCTTTTTACAAAAGTCGAGTTCTCCAAATAAACACATAAAATAGGTCTATCTTTTATTGTAAATTTAAATTAATCACAAAGATGTAATTAATTATTTTATTTCAAAAAAAAATGATAAAAGAGTGATGTTGCATATTCTATCTTCTTTTATTTGTGTACTTATTTATTTATCAAATAAATTACTCCTATCATTGAAGATTCACATAAAACCCAAAATAGGTTGCATCAATATTCAGTGTGTTTCAAAATATATAGACAGGGGTTTGTGTGCATAAGTCCTGCAACTATTTTTATTATTTTAGATATATGGGCTATATATCTTTTGTCAATAAGTTCATTCCTTTAATATGTACTATGAAACAAAGAAAAATTAATATATATGACAAAATTACCACAAACCCTTTATCATAGTAGTATTTTTTTTTTTTGAGTAAAAAGCAGTTTACCCCCTAAACTATAGCCCGTTTTGCACTTTACCCCCCAAACAAAAAATTTTTGCACGTTTTTACCTAAACTTCGGTTTTCGTTGCACGGTGCCTTAAAAAGGGAATATTCCGGGCATTTTTGCCGGAATCCCACACATGTGCATTTCACGTGATTTTTCTAAGGGTAAAACCGTCTCATCACTTAAAAACTAACCTAGGGCTGTATTTCCCCCCTTTTCCTCTCCCGTTTGTCCAATTTTCCCTCCAAAATTAAGAGCTTCTCCTTCTTCTTTATACCTGCTGTGCTCCAAATCTTATAGCCCTCTTCCCATCCGTTTTTTTGTCTTCTCTCACAGACGAAAATCACTTAGAAATTATTGTCTTTTTTTTTTTTCCTGTCGTCTCTCACAAACGAAAGCAATCTGTGAGAGAATGGAAGCAACGTGTTATTGTTCGAGAAGGGTAGTCACAAGAACTTCCTGGACTGATTTAAATCCAGGAAGGAGATTTTCGACATGTGATAACTACAAGGTATGGTTGTTTTGATCTTCTTACGTTGTTTATAATTATAGATAATTAACTACTAATTATTATGTTGAATTCTTTTTTCCAGAAAATTCGAGGCTGTAACTACTTTGTGTGGATTGATCCCCCGATGTGTGACAGATCTCGTCAAATTATTCTTGGGCTGCTTCGGAAAATTAACATGCGTGAAGAGGAGTTGATGAAGAAGAGTTCAAGGGAAAAGTGCCTGTGGATTGCAGTGATAATCTCATGGTTGTTTGTGTATCTCCTTATATAATATGTCTGTGTTCTTGAAATTAAAATATTTATTTCTGTATCTTGAAAATCTGTGTTCTTGAGATTAAGATATTTTGGAGTTTTTGATTTTTTATGTAGTGAGTTGTGTTCTATTGTTCTTGTGTCTCTGTTTTTCAAAAAACAGATTGTGTAGTGTAATTTCATCTTTATGTAATGAAATCAATGGCTATTGTGATGTGGTTTATTCATCTTAATGTACTCTTTATGTAATGAAGTCAATGGCTATTGTGATTTGGTTTGTCAATGTAAGAACAAACATAAATAAATGTACCAATGTACTGTGATGTTATTCACAACAAGCATAAACATATTCACAACAAACTATTAGATAATCAACTTCTTCATTAATATCAAAACAAAAAAGTTGTCTTCAATACAGTTCTCAAAAAGACTTCCAAAAAAACTTCCAAAAAAACTTCTGAAATACAATTTTCAAAAAAGACAGACTAACAATACCAAAATAGCAAATACCAAAACAAAAAGGAGTTGCCAGCATTACAACTATCTTGAATTACAAATTTTTTAACAAAAATTTTCTGGAAATGTGGTGGTGCAGTTCACTTTGTAGACTTGCTGAAAGGGTGCTGTTTACAGTTGTTTGTGATAGCTGGCTACTAGGTGTTCTTGGCACTCTTGAAGTTTGACTGGCCACCATAGGTTCTTTGCCCTTCCATGTTCTTGGAACCTTCAGTTGCTCAACCACCATAGGTTCTTTGCTCTTTTTTGATTTTGGAACCACCTAAAGTACAAAAAATAAAATAAAAACAACAATATGTTCAGAAGCTTTGTTTTAACCAAGGATTTAAAAATCAAATCTTTTACCTCTTCTGGAATGCTTTTTTTCTTCCCTTTCCTAACTGGTAATTTCTGTCTTTTACTCACAGTCTCATCAGTTTGTTTTGAAGTTTCTTCAGCTTCATTAATCAAGCTCTGATATACAGCCTCAATTTCCTGGCTCAAGGTATCATCATCCATCTGCAATTATCAAAATATAGAATATAATTCATACTCACATTTATCAAAAATTCATTAAAGCTATTATACTAACCACTGGTGTTTCAGACATAATTCATACTCACATTTATCAAAAATTCATTAAAGCTATTATACTAACCACTGGTGTTTCAGACACTTGATTGGGTATTTTTTCCTTGCCCTTCTTTGATTGCTTCCTCTGCAAATTCACAAAAGAAAAGAACATAAGAACCTTACAATAGAAATAAGATTATAAACAAAAACCATAGACATGTACCTTTCTTTTGTTATTTGCAGCACCACTAGTGGTGCCTTGCTCACTTGGTTGCCTTAATGGACAACCTCTTGCATTATGTTTCTTCTGGTGACACAAACTGCAAGTCATTATCACTCCTTGCCTCCCCAACTTTCCAATTGTTGTTATATTCTTGCAAACAGGAGCTGGTATATCCCTGGACCCTTCACCTGGCTGTTTTCTTCTATTGTGCATCTTTGGTCTACCTGGCATGCTCTCAATGTCTGGAGGAAGTAGTTTACTTTTGCCAGAATTAGGCCAAGACTCATTACCCTCCATAGCATTCATCAAGTGACTGTAGATTGCCATGTATTTGTCTTTCTTGTACCAGCCTTCAACATAATCCTCAGGTGTGTATCCCATGAAATACATGCTTGAAATAGCATGTGCACATGGGATTCCAGTTAGTTGCCATCTTCTACAGCTGCAGCTATTATCCCCAAGGTGGACTTTGAACTTCTCCCCATAACAGCTCTCCACCTCAAACTGATCCTTGCCATTCCAATGAGCTATGTAGTCCATAGACTTCTTCTTCAAATCATCTAACTGCCTCTGAATGTTAGGACAAATATCACCACTGTATTTGGCCATCTTGTCTCTTTTCAGATGAATCCTCTTCATTAAGATCATTCTGATAGCTTCCAGCATGTCAATGATAGGTAAACTCCTAGCCCTTCCAATCATTGCATTAAAACTTTCACACATGTTGTTCAGTAACACATCACACTTGGAGTTTGTGTTGAAATAAGACCTAGACCAATGTGCTGCAGGCCTCTTAGCAAGCCATTTGAAGGCTGATTTGTCCTTCTCACCCAGTTCCCTCATCACCCTTTCAAAATCCACAATCCTAGAAGCTCTGGCAGCTTTCCACAAAATATTTTTTAGAGCTAAGCCTCTATGTGACAACTTAAAGTTACTGTATAAGTGCATCACACAGAATCTATGCTCTGAAAATGGCAGCAACAACTCTACAGCATCAATGAGCCCCTTCTGTTTATCACTCATCACAGTCCACAAACCACTATTCTCAATGTTCAAGTCTGTTTTCAACAATTCAATAAACCACAACCAACTATCTTTTTTCTCCTTTTCAACTACTGCATATGCAAATGGATAAATACCATTGTTAGCATCTATCCCTACAGCACACAATAAGACACCACCATATGATGTTTTCAAGTGGCATCCATCCAAAAAGATAATAGGCCTACACCCTGACAGAAACCCTTCCTTTAAAGCCCCCCAACACAGATAAACTCTTTTAAATCTCATTTCATTCCCATCCCCAACAGGTTTAGTTTTAATCCTAATTGTAGTGCCAGGATTAGTTTTAACCACTTCTGCAGCATACCTCCACATTAAGCCATATTGTTCAACACTTGAGCCAGTGTTCAACTCAGTGGCTTTTTTCTTTGCCCTGTACATTTGATGCCTACTGAACAAAAGCTTACAGTCTTTCTGCACAATAGACATCATGGAATCAACAGGCCATTTAGGATCTGAGGCTAACTTATCCTTATATTTGTTGGCTACCCACCTAGATGTTGCACAAGTGACCCTCTCTTTCCTATTGCACTCATGAACTGCATTAAGACTCTTGATCTGGAATGTAGCTTCATTTCTAAGTTGGGAAGCATAAATTGTCCAGTCACAAGTCTTATGTTTGCAAATTACTTGGACTTTATTTTTTTCATTTTTTTTGAATTTGATGTCTCTACCATGGACAATAGAATGCTGTCTTACTGCACTTCTAAATGAATCAGCATCATTAAAACAAAGCCCCAGTTGAAATTTAGGGTCTGACATATCAAGTTTTTCATTGAAAACAGGGAAGTTACTGTGGGTGCATTCATTCAGTTTTTTCTTGCTTGACCCCTCTTCATCAACTGTTTTATTTAATCTCCTAGATCTTCTATTGGTAGGCTCTGTTTTTGATTTTTCCCTTAACCCTCCCCATTCTACATCAAAGTCTACATTGTCATCATACTGGATATCATCATCAGAATCATAAAAATCACTATCAGCTAGAAAATCAGAGTGATCAGAATCCTCCCCAACTGATTGGCCATCACTACCATCACTATCATTCATATCAATTAAACCATCACTCAAATCTAATGGTTCATTTCCAGTACCCCCAACATGCTCATTCTCAGTACCCCCAATAGGTTCATTCCCAGTATCTATATCAGATTCATTTGCACTCAATTGTACAGAAGATTCATGCTGAACATATATTTCAGTGACTCTTTCATCATCAGCAAAATTCACTAAACACAGAGTATCAATATCATGCTCTAACTTTGAAACATAATTGCAGTCATGTGGCATACCCCTATTGTGCAGAAAATGAACCACATCATTCAATCCTAACTCTTTAGCCATTTCATTTAATTCTAACACAGACATTTCATCTTCATGACACCAATCAAAATAATCAACTTTGCCATCCACATAATATCTGCCATTTAACTCAACAATTTTACCAGAATGGTACATTCTAATAGTAAAATAATCACTATTAGGACCTGCATTAATATGAATAGAAAATTACAGTCAAGAATAAAAAAATACCAGAAATGATAGTGGGGAAAATAAACAAGTATACTTCAATAAAGGGAACAATGTTTTTGGGATCCATACTTTTTCATATTTTAAACACATATTCTGAAGCATTTTGAGTAAAAAACAGAAACATTATGAATAAAAAATGAACTTTGTCATCGATTTCATAAAACAAATAAGCACAACAGAGATTGATAATTATTTTAGAAACTTACCATATTCTGGAGCAAATCGTGCTGGAGGAATTTCTTCATTGCCTTTCCTTAATTTCCAGACCATTTCGAGCAACCAACGCGTCAAAATCAGAAGAAATTGTGAGAGGAAAGATTTTCAACTAAAAACCCTAGAAAAACGAAAGGGGGATAATTTCAGAGAAATATTGAAGTGTTAATCGAGTCAGTGAAAGAAAACCGAAATACAGCCCTTGTTTAATTTTGAAGTGATGAGACGGTTTTACCCTTGGAAAAATCACGTGAAAGGCACGTGTGTGGGATTCCGGCAAAAATGCCCTGAATATTCCCTTTTTAAGGCACCGTGCAACGAAAACCGAAGTTTAGGTAAAAACGTGCAAAAATTTTTTGTTTGGGGGGTAAAGTGCAAAACGGGCTATAGTTTAGGGGGTAAACTGCTTTTTACTCATATTAGTATCGGTATCAGTATCATTATCAATATCAGTATATGTATCAGTATCAGTATATGTATCATTAGCAGCAGTACATGAGTATTCATATTAGTATTAGTAATAGTATTAATATTAGTATTAGTAGTCATATTACTATTAATAATAGTATTCTTATTAGTACTAATATTAATATTAATATTAATATTAATATCAATATAAGTATACGTATCAGTATTAACCAATATTAGTATTGGTATCAGTACTTACCATTATCAATTTAAGTATCAGTATGAGTATCGGCATCGGTATCGGTTTCAGTATCAGTATCAGTATAAGTATCAACATCAGTATCAATTTCAGTATCAGTTTCAGTATTAGTATCAGAATCAGTATCAGTATCAATATCAGTATCAATATCAATATTAGTATTAGTATCAGTATTATTAGTATTAATATCAACATCGCTATCAATATCGGTATCAATAATAGTATCAATATTAATATGAGAATCAATATGATTATGAGTATCAATATTAATATGAGTATCAGTATCAATATTAGATTTAATATCAATATGACTATCAACATCAGTGTCAATGTCAGTATCAGTATCAATTTCAATATCAATATCAGTATTTGCATCAGTATCAGTATTATTATCAATATCAGTTGCAGTATCAGTAAGTATCAGTATAGCTTGTTTATTTATCTACTCTAATAGAATTGTCC